AATATTTTATCCGAAAGACACATCTCGCGCGTATTACAGCCGGCGACCCATGCCGATGGCGTGAATGGCTGATGAATCGGCCCGAATGAATTTTATCACGCCAATGCAATCCGGCCGCATCCGTCCGCACCATTTGTTCGGCCTTCGCGCAAGACGAATGATTATATATTTTAACGCGGAGCTTATACGTACCGCAATTGAAGCAGCCAGCAGCCGCGGTTTACCGCATGCAACCCTCCCGGAATTGTAGACCGATGAATTGGCTTCCGGACTACGAATGATGCCACAGCCGCGGATCGCACTCCAATTTCCATGGAGCAATATTATTTTATCCTCGAATCCAAGGACCGGCTTGCATAAGCTTGCGCGCGCGCGCGGGCATTAATATGTACGATAAAGTTGCATTAACAGGTTTCCGTTGTTATCATGCAAGCTAAAGTTTAAACCTCTCGACGCATCTCCGAGGTATTATGTCGAATTTTTTTTTTTGCGTACATATGAAACTGCTAAAGATGGATGTTACAAGAGATAATAAATATCAAAATCATACATCGTCACTTCAATCGCGAGAAACACAGATCTTGTTTTGCGATAAATTTGTTCCGTGCGAAATTCTAAGCTTTACTTACCGTGTTCGAATAACAAAATATTTTGAATTGACAAATACTTTCGGATGCGCTCTGACTTCCGAGTTGCTGTTTCGCCCCAAATATTTTCACGCATTGGCATTCCTCATAAGAAAATCGCGAGACGGTTTCGAGTGTTCGCTGAGAAGCTATGTAACGGATACCGTACGAAACATTTACGTATGTATTATGCATTACTGCGTTCTGAAATTATGGTAATGTGACGTTTTTCAAGTGAAAACATTCCGAGTGCGCAATTTCAACGTAAGATGACGTATATGAATATATAATGGCCTCTTTGACACGCACGTTGTCGGCGATTCTTGAGAAAGAGGACTCTACGATGAAGATGAACGATATAATACACGCGTTCGGCGCAATCGTGAATTAAATTATCCAATATTTTTTTACAATTCTAATAGATTTCTGGAAAAAAAATCCGTTAATGGACACCGCTGCCCTGGCTGTTCCTAATTAATGAATATCCGATGGCACTAATGTAATTAATGGCATTCGATTAAACGGCATTGCGAACGAAAACCACCGAAAGAGTCCCCGTTTTTCTTGAATTAGCTATGCAGCTGCGCTTTCGCCGAACAGATGGTGCAACAAAAGGACAAAAATGTGTTATCGTATTAAGATTAATGCATTATTTATGGTTTACGCAGCCCTTTTCTTGCCATTAATTGTGAAATGATAGCGACGGGATCTATAATTTCTATATAGTAGTCTGCTCGAAAATTAGCTTAAAAGTACACCTCAGGCATCCCCGGTCTAAAAAATGTATCTTTTATATATTTAGCCGATTCTTCTTGTACTTACTTTTATGCATAATGCATTTCATAAAGAGCAATTTACGTTTATCATATTTCTTGGCCTTTTGACTCTATAGTCGCCGTATACCTGAAAAATGTTTTTTTTCACGTGTGCTATTTGCATATAAAATAGATGCGCACGAGAGTAGAAATAGAGACCTGTCGTTGCTATCAACTGGGTCACAGGTGACGAGTTTGGCCGCGTTTCAGGTGAGCGAGACTCGTCCTTGGACGAAGTGCTCGTCTGCGGTCCCTTCGAGGATCCTTCACATATGTAATATGAACAAAGCATTTCCTTAATCCGAAGCGAATTTTCGCGTGCAATATACGTTATCTTTAAACGAAGTTAGTGCCGAATACAGAAAGATACGTTCGCGTTTCCTAAAACGGAATGGAAGATATCGACTGATCTCTCTCGCATGGTCGTGTCTCGATTTTACGCAATTTTCGGTTTCTCTGCTTAAACGCTCGTTTGAGACCAGAATGAGCGTTTAAACAGAAAAGTTGTGTAAAATCGAGATACGACCTTGCGAAAGAGATCAGTCGATATATCTAGTGATATTAAAATGACTTTTTTTAACGTACCGTTTCGTACATTGAAATTTCTGCGGAAACGTAGGACTGAAAGAGCGAACAGAAGTGAATCTAACCGGCAGAGAATTATGCAAACATGTAATTAGCGTATCAAAGCAACATACAATCCTCAAACCAAGTTTGCAGCACAAGCGAATCGTCTGAGACAATTTTGGGGTCGTAACAGATTAGGTTCAAGCTTGATCGACCGAACAACTACAGCTTAGCGAACCCGAATACTGTTATTAAACCACCGAATTTAGTTACGATCGCCCGTAAAGTGTCTATTCAACTAATCCGCCGTACTAGTATGCGTCGATAACTGCTACTGAAGTTTCAGTAAATAAGGAAGTGTATTTGGATTTCGACTATTCCCGATAGCGAGATTTGACTTTGAGGGTAAATCCGACTTACAAGATAAACAAAGTGTGTACGTTCTGCGATATTAATATGCAACATACATTTTTCACTGTGTAAGATGAGCATGATTATTTTAATGTCGCTTCGCTTTTCTTTACGAAAGAAAAGAGAAACAGATCTTTGAATATAAGAAGGAAAAATCTATTACTTTGCACATGTTAGGTGAATTTGAAACGGCGATACAGTACCCGAAAAATCAGCTTCTTGCATCGTTCGCTATTACTTTACAATGCTACGAAAATTTATTACGAATTCAGTGCAGTCGACATAAATATCGTAAGTTTTATAGAAGAACTCTCCTTTTTTTTAGCTATTTGTACGTGTCGGGTGCATATATTTCTTAATATACCTCTGCCTAACAAGTTAAACAAAAAGCTGTCAGATTATGAAATATTGCACAGAAAAAGGGATATTCTTCTTTTAAAAATATGTTTAGTTTCAACGTGAAAATCTTGAAATGAGATTATATTACGTTAAAGGAAGGAAAAATTACTTAACTGAAACAATTTTATATAATTTGATCACGAAAAATATGTGCTTATTATTTTTAAATAATTTTCTTGAATGGAAAGGAAACAATATATTGGATAGAAAATAACATATTTTGAAATCAGATTATAATAATTAAAACGATTCTATTGTCAAAATAATTATATGCATTCTTGAAGTGACAATTATAATATTTAAATAAGAATATAATATTGTTGGAATGTAAGATTATTAAATGCTTCTAAGAAGATTATAGATTGTTGCGTATATATCATGACGCGTTTGAGTATATGAGAGTTGATCTGACACTTCTTTTTTCTGTGTGCATATTGTCTTAACGAAATATACGTATGATACATTAAGACATTTCTTGTCACGGCGCCGTTAAACTGAACAATTCCATTTCAATATATCCGCCGGTAAAATATTTGTTATTAAAATATTCATCAATAAGAATGGAACATGTGTTCTACGGCAACGCGATTTAAGTACATTTATTAATATATACGTTGTAAAGTAGAACGTGATCGTTTATTTGTTTATCGTGTATACTATCCCGCCATTAAAATCAGAATTTGCATTTGAATTTTAATGAAAGCCGATAATTTAAATGTAAATTAAAATGCATATTTTACGCTCCTCCAGTTCGGCCGAAACCTGCATATCGCTACTTACACGCGATATGCGTTCTCCATGCGAGAAATACAACTCTCATCGCGTTAAGACACTTAGTTTCATATTACGCCGCTTAACAATTAATAAAATAATCGCACACTTTTGTAAAACCGTATGGATTAAATTATTTTCGCGAAATAATTTTCTATCGGGCATGCGAGGTATTCTGTATAATGTATAAAATTCAATTTTCCTTGCGACGTACTTGTGTGCGATGCACACGATACGTTTACGCAATATTAAAAATTTTTTAAAACAATATCTGGTGTTCACCGATAATGAGATTAAACATTCATACATGATTTAGGTCACGTTCTGCGGAAGGGATGCAATCAGCAATCAAAATTTGATTGCATGCCTGTTTTTTTTATACATTGAACGATTTCATTTGTGAGACAACACCGCAAATGTAAACTGCACGACTAACGAATACGTAAAACTCTCCCACCGCGGATAAAGCGTATCTGCATACGGAAGCTGTGCATACTTATTAGTTATCGTAGAACAGCTGCTATTTATAATAACAAATTAGTTTATGTTGCTTGTAACGTAGTCCGGGCAAATGGGGGTAAAACAGATATTTTTGCAACAGCGAGTTAGTGATCTTGCGATACGAAAAAACGTTAAAAGTTTTTATAGTCTTTATTCCTTCAAATTTGTGTTTATCACATGAGAGCCTTGTGAATTTTTTAAATTTGTTAAATTACGCAGACGTAATACGCGTTTCTTAATTTCATTAGTTATTTGGGCGGGAGGGAAAGTAATAATGGGGATATATGATTGTACTGTGTTTTAAGACTGACGATTTAAGTCGGCGCGTACACCCAGATAAAAGATTTATTTAGGTTAAACAAATTAAATATTATACGTTGAAATCACGTTTCTTTGAATCTACTAAATTTTCATTTACTTCTACTAAAACATTTGCTAGATTTGAAGAAATAGATATGAATTCTCTTAGAGATTCCAGTCTTAATTAAATAAAATTTGGTTAAGGTAAAAAAAATTATTTCTTTGAAATTAAATAAATGTCTAGTAAGGTGGAAATTAAAGAAAATTTGTTTGATTTCAACGATACTTATTTCTGGGTGCAATTCTCGTTTCGAATACTGTCACGATATGTGGCATTTGAGAATCAACGTTAGACTGTTTATTACGATGAATATTACTAACATGCCACGGTGGTCGAATTGGTGAGACGCCCGCCTAGTGAGAGGGAAGGTTCAAACCCTGGCTGAGGGGTTATATTTTTCGTAATAAAGTTAACATAAGAATTATTTAGACACTGACATCCTGTCACGGCTCTTCCGATTTTATTCCTTCGTGTTTGTCACATGAGAGCCTCATGAATTTTATTAATTTGCTAAAAGTTTAATTTGCAATTTCCTTTGATCTGTTTCAGGCACTTTTACAAGCCCACGACGTTGCCGGTCACGAGGTGTACGGCGAGGAAGCCACCAGAGTAACGCCACCGCCGCTCCTCACGTATCTGAATGGCGGCGACGATCTCGAGGGACAAAACGGCGATTTAGATGAGAAAATCACTCGTGTTAGACTGGTGCAATTCCAGAAGAACACGGATGAGCCGATGGTGAGTAGCGAGGCAATTTGCGGAAATGTGCCGTTTCGGCGGGTACGAGAACGGTATTTTTAATTTAAAATGTGTGGCATTACGGGTGGCTCTGTGTTATCCGTGACATAATTTCTACATGAAACGAGAGAACAAATACATAGATACACACACATATTTCTCATGCAAAATTTACTTAAAATTTTTAGCGAAACGTCAGAATAAAGATTCGACGTAGATGTTGATGAGAGATGGCAGGTTGTGCGATTTGAAAAGTATATTTTGGCTATTCCTTCACATTATTGCATAAATATGAAAGAATCTAATATAAAGATTACTCGAAAGATTATCTGTAGAATTACTTTGCAACTAATAATAAACACCACATTTCTACGTACAATGGGAAACAATAATCTTGTTGTCACGAGAATATTAAATTTGAATTTGCATTATTGTTTCCTGTGCACGGCGGCTTAACGCGGCATTCGCCGTGCTTAAAACGCGCTATCGTAAAATAATGCTTAACATTTTATTATCGGTAAAACATTTACATTTACCACTCTTAATTTATTTCGCATTTTCCGCTCGCTTTCCAGGGAATCACGTTGAAAATGAATGAGGATGGGCAATGCTTCGTGGCGCGGATTATGCACGGTGGGATGATCCATAGACAAGCCACTCTTCATGTCGGCGATGAGATCAGGGAGATCAACGGTATACCGGTTCAGAATCAATCCGTTAATGCCTTGCAAAAGATTCTGGTGAGTATCATCGTAAGATTATTATTATATCGTAACTGCGCGAGTGGATTTTAAAACTTCTTTCAAGTTGGATCGTCGAAATGATTATTTCTTTTACTATAAATATAATTTTAATCGGATAGATTCATATTTTTACTGCACCAAATTTTGTACTTTTACACAAATGATGTATCGTCTTGTTGACTTCGGAAATCATTGAATTACTTGGTTCAAAATTCCAAAATAAATCGTAGGAAATCACTGGAAATCAGTGAAAGTAATTTTTCTTTGAGACTTCCTGCGAAATTATCGAAAATCATGACAAAATTAGATCAATTCGGAAATCACAAATTTATAAGCTATTATAATATATAAATACACATTATACTATATGAAAAAATATAAATGTATGTATATATTATTTGTCTCGCCCCGAAGAAAGCGCTGCTTGCAATAAAATCTGTATTATTAATTAACTCTTAGTTTGTTACAAAGTCGAATTCATTGATTTGGACAATGTCGAGTTCACTAGAACTAAGAATTCATGAGAAATCGCAGATAATCGAATAAATTCTGAAATCGCGAAAATCCTGTTTCCAAAGGAAATAATTGGAAATCGATTTTTTTTAAAATCATTGATCCATTTAAATAGAGAACGAGCAGCCCCTTGCCTCGCTTACTCAGTAGTTCCTGAAGAGTCGTTCTTTCTCGACTGTTACAGCGGGAGGCACGTGGATCGGTGACTTTCAAGATCGTGCCGTCGTACAGGAGCGCGCCGCCCCCCTGCGAGGTACAAGTAAGACCCAACACCCAAACCCTTCCCCAAAACACTATCGCGTCTAGTAAGCCCACAGTCTCCACGGCCTCCACGGGCGCGAGCTCTGGAGGCGGTGCGAATAAATCCGGGAAACCGGCGAAAACCTCTGCGGCCACCACGAGCAAGGAAAAAGCGCCTAAGGCGCCAAAAACTTCCAAGTCTAAAAGCGCTTCCTCGTCCACCGAGAGCACACCTAGACGTCGCTTAAATCCACTATCGGCCCTACGATCGCGAAAGTCTTAAACTCTCCGATCGATCTTGATTTAATCAAGTAGTCCGCCCGGTTAGATTGCGTATTCACAGAATTGCCAGAAGCACATCTGCTTCTAGACGTAATGGTAGATCTTCCACGGGACAAAAACGTATGCCTTTTTCCAACGACACTACTGATTTAATTATCGAGATAGTGAAGTTGCTTATAAACCTAGGCCTTATAGAGTAGGTAGTTCTTACGATGGTTAGTAATTACGGCAGGTAGTTCGTGCAGTTGGCAATTGTGCATGTTAGACTTTTTTCCAATACGCTTTATTATATTAATTGCGTGATGATGACTTGTCGGTGATACGCAAATTTCTATAAAATTACAGTGCTCTAATAAAAGATTTTTCTTCAAGATGATTCAAGTAATATAATATAATGAGTATATACATATTGTAATTATAACACGTTATTTACTTAATTTCTTTTTATTTATTTATTTAGTTTTTATGAAATTACTTACAAGCTATTTTTTTTAATATTTTATTCTTACAAACTATTCATTTTTTTTTAATGGAATCGATAAACATGGATTATTTATCTTGTAAATTTCTTGAAATATTCTCTGGCCTTATTGATTATAACCCAGAGACATGATTCGAAGCATGAAGTAATCTATTAATCGATTAAATAGTTTGCCTTAGTTTCCTTTATGATCTTCTAGTTTACGAAGTCAAACTTTGATGTTTCTAATAAAGTTTGCAATGATAAACAACTAATAATTTATATCGTATTATATACGTAGATTATTATGGATAATCATACACAAAGGAAAACTTAGGCACAGTTAATTCGATCAGATGATTCAAACTTGACACCCTTTCGTAGTGTAATGACATTTCATATTTCATAAGTTGAAAAGCATTGTACGAGTACTATTTCTAAAGAGCTCACGCAACGTGCGAGAAGTCTCAGCTTATTATCCGTTTTGCGATTAGGAAAGTTTTGGATAATGAACAGAGGGATATGCGATTAGTTTCTCAATAGTTTGCAGTTCGTATATAGTTTCCTGCGTAATTTCATCCAAGACCACGGAGTTTACAAGGAGTTTGCCGGAAGAGATGCGGTTAATAGTGTCCACTTTGCGTCACGTACAAGATAATCCATTGTTGGAAAATTTTTCGTGCCGTGTAATCGGCAACGAAGTAAACGGGAGGGTAAATGTTTCCACGGAACATTGGGAATTATTTTCCCAATGTTCGAATGTATCTCACTAAGCTCCAAAAGTTGAAATTTCAGATCTACTTGAAATTAACCAGAGTTTAAGCGAGCTTTGTGTAAGAGCGACTTCGTGAAAAACAATGTGCAATATTCCTCGTGATGCAATATTTTTACCTTGATATACAGTCATTATACCAAGTTAATATTTATAGAATATACATATATGTATACATGGAATGAGCCTAAAAAACTTATTAATACGAACGTATTTTGTCATGAAGTGCAAATTTTTTGTCTATTTCTTTTCTGTAATCATTATAACTGGAAAAGTATTGTGGATTAGTTAAGAAAGTTGTAGTATTTCAAATGGGTTATACTTTCTAGGGCTGTTAACTAAATATTCATTTCTTATATATTATTAAAAAATTGTATAATATTATTACGTTATATTTTGGATATAAAACAAAAATATATTAGTATAATTTTTGGTTGACTTATTTTTTTAATTTGTTGGAACAAACAAGGGGATTAAGGCTTACGCCTCAAATTTCTGAGACAATGTAACTTTGGACACAGTTTCGCTACTAATCTTCGTTAACATTGACAAAGGGAACGGAAACTGATATTTGGCGGTTTATATGTGCCAGCTTAAACGCAATATTCTCGAAATAGTTGCATATATTCGGCGACGAATATTCTGCTATAGTTCAATGTCCGGTCATATTTGAAGTTTCAGTAATTAGCGCACAGGTTCCATCCGAGGGAACAAGTTCTTGGAGAGCGTAGAATTCTCGAAGCAAACGACAAGAACTTTCCTTTCCATGATTTATGAACGTTTACGTTTCAGACTAATTACAAATACAACGAGTCCGCAAGTACAATTTATAAATTTTTATCCTTCCTTCTTTTCGAGTCACGGCATGCTGGGCGCTAGTTTATTTAACTTGGGTCAATAAATTGATGGATCTGTCAGCGCAGTTTTTCCATTTTTATTTTTCAAAGCAAACAAGAGTAGAATTGGATAAAATTTTATAAATTGGATTCGTTTGTAGCAAAACCACTGTGAGCAGCATTTTTCCCAAAAGTTAACGTTTATCGACCGATAGTTTCGGGAATTTAAAAATGTTCAACGTTTGATATATACGTTTGCTACATTTAAAATTCATAAGGGAACTATGAATATCAATCTTAAAGTATTTTCAAGCAAAATATTTCTAAGTAAACTAAAAGGTAACGAGATTCAATTTTAATTCACGTTATTTTTTGTTATGATAAAATTTTATTCAGCAATCGATTATCTAAATTATTCGAAGATAAATATTTTAACGTAGAAGAGAATGTAATGAGACTCTATGTTTCTCGTCTATTTCCTTGGTAATTCTATATTAATATTTAAGACTCTACTTTAAAAATACTGTGAAACTGAACAAGATTTAATAAAATCGATAATTCTTTGCTCTTTAATTTTATGAAACTTTTTAAGTGACTATATATATGTATATACGTATATATTTAATATAAAATATATCTGCAATTATGTATTATCAGGGTTGTGGGAAAGTTACTTTATAAAAGTATCCAGTTACAGTTACAGTTTTTTCGCTAAAATGGTAACTAGTTACAGTTACAAGTTACCAATTCTGAAAAGTAACGCGTTACAGTTATAGTTACTCCAAAAGCGACGAATCGTTACTTTGCATTTACTTTCTTGCAATGAAAATAAAAATATCAAAGCTGCATTTGAATTATAAAGTGTCGAGAAAGGCGTTTATAGACAAATGCAAGGTTTAATGTAATCTGTGGAAGTTTAAAAAATATATAAAGTAGCTATTAATGTAACTATTAAATTAGTTACTAGTTATCGAAAAAATGTAACTGAGTAAAGTTACAGTTACAGATGGAGAGGAAGTAACGAAGTTAAGTTAGAGTTACCAAAAAACGTAACTGTGACTAACTTCGTCACAAGTAACGAGTTACTTCCCAACCCTGTGAATTATATATTCTATTTTATAGTGTGTTATACTTCATATAATTATATATTAGATATATGTACATTATATGAAGTAACTATAAATTACATTTTAGATTTCTTGATGAGAGAGTTTGTCCAAACCTGTAAAGTTCCAGCTGTGCTTCTACGAAGCTGGAAGTAAAGACGTTTACGTGGATAACTTCACCTTATATTCGCAATCACGCTCCGTCGTTTTGAACCAAGATAAGATCTTGAGCAATAGCGCACAATGTGCGTAATCGGCAAATTGGAAGTAGAATCGAGATCATACTCGAAACCCAGTAATTCCAAAGTTAAATCAGCGTAATCATAATCACGTTAATCATCGAACTGTTGCAGTGCGCGATCGTTATATTATCCATAAATTCTGAAGCGCGGAAAGAGCTTCGCATACTGCAATTTATATTTACCGATGAATTCGCCGCGAATTCTTAGCCTCGATTCAACTAGAATCGCAAGTCAGTTTTCATTGTGCATAAATTGTTGTTTACTTTCTGAACATTATACAATACGTCGAAATAATAGGCGATAGCTTAGTAAATATACAAATAGATACATAAACGTGGTTGATATTTGCAGAGGTTTTCACCAGTTGCCCGTATTATAAGACATATACACATGCACTTATATATAACAGTAATATATAAAATGATTAAATCAACTAACCCTTTACTGTTACAACAAAGAAAAGACTCAAAAGATGATGCTGCTTGACGTACCGAGAAATATGACCTACCAACGTTATATTTATGGCTCGTGCTTATAAGACGGAAAATATTATTTCCTTCCATCATCTTATCCCGCCATCTTTTCTCGGTATTCAAACAGTGTCACGCAAGACAAAAAGATTTCTTTCAGCATAACGCCAAATCGCATAAAATCAAATTGAGGAAACAGAGTTTTTTGCCGGATCAAGATTTTATTAGGTACAGCTGCTTTTACGTTGTTGCAAATTTGATTTTACATCAGTACGCGTAAGATGATTGCTTCTTCGGTCAATCTGCGGGATTGATAGAACACTTGACGGAGTAAACGACTTTTACGTTCGCAATATTTTCATAGCTCACAATTCTGCGTCGCGCGTTTCGTGCTTCGGGCACGTTGTACATATTTCAAGTTTCAGAGATTGTCAAAGGCACGTACAATATGCAGTTAACATGTACAGCTCTTTATAGATGTACGATATACCCTTCTTCGCGTGTCCACTTGTAAAAAGAATGTTTGCCATCTCTAATTGCTTATCTCAGTCCGCATTATGTAGATAACGGATCTCCTACGATTGTTGCAATTGTACGGCAATAGGGCAATATGCTAGTCGCATGACGTATAACGTTCTCTCTCTTCTCGATGATTACATTGCGCTTGCAGTGCGCGAGTGTCACGTACAAGGACGCTGCAAAATCGGCGATGCAATCGGTAAGAAAAATCAATGTCGAGGAAATATGCAAATTTAAAATTGTGTGGCACATGAGGCGCATAACTGTGTGCTTGATTTAACTATTGTTATTAATAATGCATTCTTCTCACTTTTAGCTGCAAGAAGTCTGAA